CTGCCGGGGCAATCAGCTGGCTTGCTACGTTCGGGAGGGAGGGGGGAGCCTGCCCGCCGAGTCCTCGCTCCTCCCCCTCCCTCCTGCCTCCAAAACGCCGCAAGCCAGCTGATTGCCGCAGGCAGGAGGCAGGGGAGGGAGGGAGGGGGAAGTGCGCCGAGTCCTCGCTCCTCCCGCCTCCCTTCTGCCCAGGGCACTCAGCTGGCTTGCGGCGTTTTGGAGGCAGGAGGGAGGGGGAAGGAGCGAGGACTCGGTGGGCAGGCTCTCCCTCCACTGCCTTCCGAACGCGGCAAGCCAGCTGATTGCCCCGGGCAGGAGGAAGGGGGGAGGAGCAAGGACTTGGCGCGCCTCCCCCCCCCCGCCTCCCGAACTGCCAGCAGGAGGCAGGAGAGGGAGGGGGAGCCTGCGCGCCGAGTCCTCGCTCCTCCCCCCTCTCTCCTGCCTCCAAAACGCCGCAAGCCAGCTGATTGCCGCAGGGAGGAGGAGCGGGAAAGCGCTGATCCGTGGAGTCTGCCGGCAGGCGGGAGGCGCTGGGGGAAAGGGGGTGTAGGGTGGCTGCCAGCTATGGAGAAAGCAGGCAGCCAAACAACGTAAGAGTGGAGCATTGCACAACTTTAAATGAGTATGTTCCCTAATTGATCAGCAACGTAACAATGAAACAACGTTAAGCGGGACGACTTTAAGTGAGTTACTGTAGTGAAAATTCCATGCCTTTTCTCCCCCCTCTCCCTTTTTGGGGAAAAAGGATACACATTTTCCTGAGAAGGGAAGCATCACATTCCAAGAATTTATAGAAGGTTCTTATTCTAGTTTGGCCAACAGTTGTGCAGATTTTAATCCCACTTCTCTAGTGTATAGATAAGTAATTTAATGATTGCCTTTTTTAAAGAAAAGTAGTAGAAATAAGTTTAACATGCTAAGGACATTGATGCATTGTAAAAAATCAAATAAAAACAACTATTTGGTGTATATTCATTCCTCTCGAACATGTTTTAGAAATAAAACTGCATTGTGTGGGATTTTCACAAACGCATTCATCTGCTGCTGCAGCAGCAAAGTAACAGTTACTGGGTTTAATTCTGCACTGTCTTGTACCCTTTTGAGTTACTTGTACCTGTGTGCAATGGATGTAAAATGCTGCTGTTTTGCTTTTTTGTATATCTTTATCCTTTTTGTACAGGTAAGCACTAGAGTCAAGCCTATTATTTCTGCAGTTGCGCTGATATCAGTGATGCTGGTACATAGCCTTGAAAACCAACCTAGTCATGTTAATTTAAACTAGATTCTCAGACAAATTTGCTCAGACCAGTTTGGGTGCTGTCAAAAAGGCCATCTTGATGATTTTAAAAAATAAGAGGAAATTAAGCACCTCTGTGTGTTCCAAAGATAGTGAGGACCACACTGAGCCTCTGCATATGATTCATTAATATTTGGTAACTGCAGTGCAGAGTGCGTGGCTAACCGTTGTTTACCCACAGATACTGTTGGGTTTTTGAGGTCTGCACGCTTCAATTTCAGTTGTTTGATTAAATGTATTTGACAGCTGTTCCCTAAAATGCCATAAGTGTTCCCAGAAATTACCTGGTTTGAACACCAAAGTGAAATTCTAAGAAAATGCTTGAGTTTAAAACAAAAAGTGCAACAGAATCCTGCATCACTTGAAGATTGTATTAAAAAATTGTTGAAATGTATTGTAAACAAATGTCTGACTCTCGTTTTTTATTTGCAGTGTTTCGTGTTGAACTCTCCTGCACAGGCAGACTAGATTCTGAGGTTACAATATTAATGCAGCTCAACTTAACAATAAATTCCTCAAAAAATATCACAGTCTTAAATTTCAAACGAAGGAAAATGTGCTACAAAAGTAAGACATCAAGCTTCAGCAACTTTTATTGTTAAAGTAGAGGAAAAAGGAGTGAGGGGAGAGATTATGGTGATGGGTGTGGAATAAGAATCTCTCAGATGGAATAAAACGTTTTCCAGGAACGTGAGAGTAGAGGGAGGGATGAGTAAGATCTCTTGCTTTACAGATAAATAAGGGAAATTTGAATGAAGTAGGATGATGGGGGAACAAATAAATGTTCTAAATTTAGGCAGAATCGGGAAGGCAGGGCAGTTGATGGGCTTTAATTGAATAACTGGCTTTGTATTATGGAGATAGTGACTGCAGCTTCATAGTTATGACTGAGTTTTGCATTTAAAGCAGGGATACCACCACTTATGTCTGGAAAAAAGAGTCTCCCCAAAATTACAGCATTTTTAATGTAGAAAGACTTTTTTCTGAGAATTTAAAAGTATATCTTATAAAGTAAGTTAAAATGATCTTAAAATGAGTCACTTAAACTTGGCACACTGAGTGTCTTTTTTGTTCTTTATGATCTCAGTAAAAAAATGATGCAGACTTTTCAAACTCCCCATATAGTTAAAACACTGAAACTTGGAGAACAAAGCTACATTTGAATATATTTTTTGTGAGGATTAATGCTTTTTTTTTTTGTTTTTTTGGTCACTTTTCATAACTGAACACTTCTTTTACTTGAGTCTGCAGCCATTTTGAAAGAGGTTTTGGAGTACTGTAAAGAATGTTTTTCTTTAATCTCTTATTCTCAATAGACTGCTCGTAGCAAAGATGGTCACTACTTCGGTTTGCTTGCTCCTCATAATTCTTCAGTCTCTTGATAGCATTTGGTGGTATTAGTGCGTGTGGGAGTGTCTGTCAGTCACCATCTACCCTGAGGGCAGACTGACTTCGCTTCCATTTGGTTATGAATTTCCAAATGGAAGTTTTTAGAAAATGTGAGCAAAAAGCAATTAAGCCACTTCTCATACAATAAAATTAGTGCAAGGAGATTGAAAGCTGATATTTTGCAGGAAAGCAGTTCTTACTGAAAAATGCTTTTCTGGTGAAAATTGGTTTTGATTACTTTAGGATAGTTTGAAAAATAGCCATTTGTGTATCAGTAGTTCTTAGATTTTGAGAATTTGTGGACAAAGGTTATACGGTGTCATTTTTCCCACCCATTGTAGCTAAGTACTGGATTGGGAGACTCAGTTGAGACCAAACATGGCAAATTCAGTTGGGAAGGAGAATTTTTGAAAGTTGGGAGCATGGGAAAACATGGTTATAATGAAAATCTGAAATTAACCTTAACTATAGGTTTTAATTCAGTCTGCTGAGTTAGGAAAACACTTTTTTGTAGAAATGGACCAGGTGATTCAGTGTAAAGGAATTACAATACAAAATGTGTACTAGAACTTCACATTTTTCTCTTGTTGATTTAGAATTTGAACAAGAAGTAAAAACTCCAACGTCTGACAAAAACAGCAGCAAAGCTATTTGTAAGTAATATTAAGGGCACTTATTCCTCTTGGCATAACTTAACAGGAACCTTGTGATATATCTTCTTTATGAAGGGAATGATGTGAAAACAGTAATTTCCTTCAAGTTCAGATTTTAGAGAGAGGCTTTTTGCAGTTTTGTTAACTCCATTCTTCTGTTCAGTCAGCAATATATAATGGGGGTGAGAAGGTGTTCTGGGGTAATCACAACTTTTGCCTGATACATGACTCTAGAAGTTTTGAGCTATCAAAACCAATCTGTTTCTGACCTTTAGATTTAGAATCTGTTGTGTGTGCCATTTAACTTGCTGAAGTAAATGTGCAGTGTGAGGTGGCTTTGGCCCTTTTTATCTCCCTAACCATGTCTCGAGTTGGAAATGCCAACCACAGCATGCTAGCACCTGTTGTGGAACCCAAAACATAAGCTATTGTAAAAATTCTTTTGGAACTCAATGGGAAGCTTTATTCCGTTTCTTGTGGTGCTAATTCTTTACTTAATTATCCTGTGCACTTTTTTTGCCTAATATGGGTGTTGTTTAAAAATCATGGGGTGTGGATAGGGTCCTCTTCCTAAAATAGGAGTAGGTCTTACCTCCTTTTGGTGCACACACATGGCAGCTTCTTAGCACTGTAGAGGGCAGGCATGACAGGTAGCCCAGTGGCTGCTAATTTGTGCTGGCCTCCAGGAATCAGTACAGTTGAGGTTGGTTGGTTGAAAAGGCAGGCTTAATCACCTGTAAATACTGCTGCATTAAACAAGGAGTAGGACAGGCACAAGGGATCCTACCCACGAGGCTTGTTAAAGGCAGAGCGTGAGGTACCCTTGTGCTACAGGCTAGGGAGCTTTTAAGCTGCAGGTCAGTTCAGGGTTGGGGGGAGGGGGAAAGGCACACAACTTCTGTGCACTAACGCCATACTGCCCTCCAATATGAGGTCTTGAGTGTGATTCTCCATGCTATATATGGCTGAATTGGATTTCTCCTTGCTGCAAAGTTATGCCTCTTTATAACTCCCCTTCTCTAGTGCAGTTTCTACCAAAATCTGCAAGAATGAGTGGAGAGGGTCAGAAGCAGGTGGCTGGTTTGACCGCAGCTCTCCCAGTTCCCTTGTGTACTTTGGTAGCGATAACATTTTTTGTGGGGAAGGGATTGTTAGTTTCCAGTAAGCAGCCCCCCAAGACCAGCAGTTTGGAGGCCCCCTTGCCCCTTTACATTTAGCCTGGAGGGCACCAGGGTGTCGTTGGTGAGTATATGATGGCACTGATTGGGTTGCTGGTTCCTGGGCTTGTCTACACTGTCAGGTTTTGTCAATGAAACTAATGTCAACATGAAAAAATCGACAAAAGCAAAGTCGCCACAGCGAGTCTACATTTGCTCCCTCTGTCGACAGATCATGCCCACATTCGGGGCACCATTGTTGACAGTGTGAGCAATGCACTGTGAGTATGTATCCCACAGTGCCTGGCGACACCATCTGTTGCTAGGTGTTGTGGGAAGGCGGAAACGGAGCATGGCGCATCCTGGGACATGCAAAATGTCCCGTCATGCACCGCTTTGTGTCCCAGCCCTCCTGTGGTTTCTGGCTTCCTTTTGCGCCGTTTTTACAACTGCCAGTCCTTGTAGTGCGCACCAGCTCTGCAGTGAGAGAGGATGGATCCCGCACTTCTTTCCTATGCGCTGTTACCTGTCGTGAGGACATCTCACATGGCAGCAGAGTTATTCGCAAAGTTACTGACAGAGGATGAATCACAGGCACTCGTGTGTGATATGGATGGCAGCAACTTATCAGTGCTCTTGGCATTCACAGAGCACCTGCATACAGTAGACTGTCGCTTTTGGGCTAGGGAAACAAGCACTGATTGGTGGGATCACATTGTCATGCAGGTGTGGGATGAAGACCAGTGGTTACAGAACTTTAGGATGCGTAAAGCAGCCTTCCTGAAGCTATGTGCTGAGGTGGCCCCCGACCTGCGGTGCAAGGTCACCAGACTGAGAGCTGCCCTTTCGGTAGAGAAGCGTGTTGCAATCGCTGTCTGGAAGCTGGTGAATCCAGACTGCTACCGGTCAGTTGCAAATCAGTTTGGAGTGGGGAAGTCCACTGTTGGGGCTGCATTACTCCAAGCGTGCAGGGCAATAAATCTCATCCTGCTGCGGAGGACCGTGACTCTGGGAAATGTGCATGAAATAGTGGATGGCTTTTCAGAGATGGTTGTCCCTAACTGGCGGGGCGATTGATGGCACACAAATTCCAGTTTTAGCGCCAGACCACCTTGCCTCAGAATACATCAATAGAAAGGGATACTTCTCCGTAGTGTTGCAGGCGCTTGTGGATCACTGGTGACATTTCACAGACATCAGTGCAAGCTGGTCTGGAAAGGTGCATGACGGACGCATCTTCAGGAACAGTGGCCTGTACAGAAAGCTGCAGGCGGAGACTTTCTTAGTAATCCTGGAAGATCCGCTTACCCCTTCTAGCCCTAGCTCATGAAACCGTACACAGGGCACCTGGACAGCAGCAAGGAACGTTTTATCAACAGGCTGAGCAGGTGCTGCATGGTAGTCGAATGTGCCTTTGGCCATTTGAAAGCTCGCTGGAGGTGTTTAAATGGCAGGCTAGACCTTACCAAGGATAATATTCCCGTGGTCATAGCAGCATGCTGCACTTTGCATAATCTGTGTGAATCTAAGGGTGAAATGTTTGCTCAGGTGTGGAGCACTGATGCAGAGCGCTTGGCTGCAGTTTGAACAGATAGATGCTAAGGCTTTCAGAGGAGCCTGGAGTTTAACATCAGAGAGGCTTTGAGGAACCACTTTGACAATGAGGGGCACTAACACATGTCTGCTTTGGAATTGCTTCCCTGGTGCATCCATAAATGATTTTGGGACCCAAGATCCATGCAACAAAATGCTTTAGAAGCCTGTTCCCAAGAATGAATTGATTGCTATATGCTTTTGTAGAACACAGAATAAAAATGCTATACCATTAAATACCTTAGCCTTTATTTATTGTTAAAAAGGGTAACACCTCACAACTGTGTGTAGCTCCAGCTATTGTGCAACCTGTGAGAGGGGGTGGAGTGATGGGGAAACTCAGGAGTGCTGTGAAGTAAAAGGAGTGTCTGGGCATAGAGGGGGGTGGGGTTGGCAAAGAATTGTGCATGTGCTGCAGTGGTCAACCACGGATCTGCTCTGTCTGCAGCTGTATCAAAGACTTGAGCATCTCTGTCTGATCCTCCATAACTTTTATCATCCATCCTGTCGCTTGCCCAGCAAATGCTGCATTCTCTTTTCTGTCCTGACTTTCAGCTTCCCAGCACTCTTTGCGTTCCCTGGTCTCTCCCTCATCGCGCTGCAGCACCTCCTTGAACATGTCGTCTTTGCTACGTCTCAGCTTCTTCCTTATCTGCCAAAGCTGGTTAGCAGGTGTGCGTGGTGTGTTCCCCAAGGTCTCGGCTGCTGTGGACAATGTACAGAAGAGGGATTGTTACATTCCAGCAAACGATTGAAACATTTCAGTAACAAGGGCCTTTTGCAACTAGTAGCAATCGCTTTCTCACTGACTCTAGGCAGGCACAGAGCTCCGTGAGCACCCCAATCATGGTGAGTGTCGGGAGTGGGGGGAAGGTGGTTGTGGGTACAGACAAAACGGACACGGCTTGCAGGGGAGATTTGCAGGGAACTCATTCTAAAATTATCACACACTTTTTCACAGGCGGCCAACCTGCTGGCTGACATCTCACTGCTGCGGGTAAGTAGGGAAACCAGGGCACAACTACTGCATATTTGCAGCTTTCACCCCGGTCTATATGCAGCTCAGCCATGTGCTGCTTTAGTCCCAGCTCCAGTGATTACTAAATGGCATGATACAGTTTCCTACAATGGGGGAACTAATAAGGCTGCAATCCCTTGGAATCTGCAGTAGAGGATTATTAACAAGTACCTCTTGGAAATGTTCCAGAGCCTCTTTCTGTAGGATTCCCTGCAGGTCTTGATGTCCATCAACACACTGCTTAGCAATGCAGATTAGCTACACCAGGCAATGTCCAGCTCACATAAAACACTACCTGTCTCCCACTTTTCAATTCCCTACACAAGCCACAGCAACTTACCCAGCATCTCATCTGCTTCCTGCTCCCATAGAGCACTTCTAGAGTGGAGAAAAGTTACTGGCTGGCTGCTCCACCAGGCGACCCCCGCTGGGAGCTCCACATACTCTTCTAGCTCCACTTCTTCATCCAGAATTTCAGCCTCCAGGTTACCCCCTCTTTCTGCTGCCTCCAAAGTATCCATGGGGCTGTCGGCGATGGAGATGGGGTCACGACCGAGGATAGCATTCAGCTCATTATAGAAGTGGCAGGTCTTAAGTGCACCACTGGAGCGATGGTTTGCCTCCCCCCACGCCTTATGGTACTCCTGCCTCAGCTCCTTTATCTTCGCTCTGCCTGCTGCGTGTCCCGATCATACTCGTTTTTACACAAGCCTCGAGAAATTTGCCCATATGTGTCCAGATTCCTACGGGTCAATCGCAGCTGCAACTGAACAGACTCCTCTCCACATACACTGATCAGATCCAACAGCTCAGCGGTAGTCCAAGCGGGAGTGCGTTTGGTGCGATAGCCAGCCATGCTCAGCTGGGAAGCCAGCAAGCAGGAAATTAGATTTAAAATTCCCGGGGCTTGCGAGGGGGAGAGGCGGGTTGGCTGCAAGGCAGCGGAGTTCAAACCGCTGACCAGAGCGGCAGCATGGGAATTGTGGAACACTTTTTGGAGGCCAATAAAATGGGGGCGAGGGGGAGGCGTTGTGTCTACACTGGCTGTTTGTCGACAATAAAGGAAGGGGAAAAGACAAAAGTGTCTTGCAGGGGTGGAAGTTCTTTGTCGCCAAAACTGGACGTTTTTTTCGACAAAAGTCCCATTACAGTGTGTACGCTATCGCTGTTTTGTTGCCAAAAGGCAGTTTTTGGCGACAAAACTTGTCAGTGTAGACAAGCCCCCCATCTTGGCCTTGGCTTAAGGCAGTAGGATTCTGGGAGATTTTTCTTGTTAGAATGTTGTGATCTTTTCCTGAGTCTGCTTGCTCTGTCCTGTACTGACCTCTACTGGGAAAACGGTCTTTAAATCTTTGCTTAATGGAAAGCTAAACATTGAGACACATCAGGGCTGCCTTTCTTTGGTCCAGTTATTTTAGACTGGTGTAAAACAAGTGCTAGTATTAGACTGAATTAAAAACACCAACATACTCCTTGCACAATCATATATGAACTCATTTGAAATTGATAAATGTAATTTCTCTCTCTTTTGGAGAAAAGTACATTTCAATGACATGTTTTACCCTTCCATTTCAGTTGATCCTGTAAATGCCGCTCCCACCACTTCTACCCGTGTGTTTTATATCAGTGTAGGGGTTTGCTGTGCTGTTATATTCCTGGTGGCAATAATATTAGCTGTCTTGCATCTTCATAGTATGAAAAGAATAGAGTTGGATGACAGGTAAAGTATACAATCTTCTTTTCATATACAATTGTTTGACATTTGTGAAGGTGTCTGTGTTATGTGTAAAAACCGAGAATCACTTTTAATAACTGAGAAACTAATTGTCACTGTTTGCTTGTCATAATATGTTCCTTCCTTTCTTGTACTTAGACAATGTTGTCTTCTGACCTCTGATCTGCATAGCTGGGTTCCTTGAAGTAAGGTAGCTAAGGTTGCAGCAGCAGCAGTCCATAGCACTGATAAGTAAAAAGGCAATAACCTGGAATGCTGGCAGTTTGGGTGCCCTCCAGTCAATCAGAATCCAGTGGCAGCTCCTCTCTGGCTTGTTTTTTGCAAAAGCTGATCATGCTTTGGCACTTCTCTTCAGACTTGTTTAATTTGAAGCTGTCAGTTTTTTCTCCAAATGGTCAAAACAGAAATGCTGGGCCCAGCTACGTAAAGTGGCAGCCTTGTTCAACAGCAATGGTAGTGCACCCATTTGTTAGAGTGCTAGTCAGAATCTGGGAATCTCTGGGTCAAGAAACGTGGTATAGGAGGTTGGTAAAGAAAAGGACCATACACTGCCACCACTATCTTGAAACAGCCAGTAATTGAGGTAGGAGGGTCTTTTAATACTTATGATTATATTCAGATCCTTTTCTCTGTCCTGCCTTCAGGCCTTATTGGAATACTTAAACTTCATTGTGGCCAGGAAGTTTATCTCTTAAGAACCCATTATGACTCTTTTTCTTAACAGGTGGGAAAGGACAAGGAAGGGATTGTGCCTCAAAGTGAACTCTTTAGTAGGTGCAAAACCATCTTATTTCACTTTCAGGCTGAAACTGTGTGGCCGTTAAACATAAAGCCCTGTCAGAGGCAGCAGTTGCAGACATGGTTCAAAATCCCATATCCTCTTGTGCAATAAAGTTGACTGGGGCAATGGGATAGGAGCTTTGGGGAGCCAAAAATTAAGAGCTACTCAGGCTGTCACAGCTGAAGAAAGAGTATATCTGAGTACACTGAAAATAGTTGCTTTTTCCTAGTTTTGAGAGAACTTGGATGCTCAAAAATTGTCTTCATTGTAGTCAGTTATTTGGTGCATCACTGGTATTAAACTAGGGCCTTGGGACGCCAGCTGAGATCTCATTCCCTTTGTGCTAGGCTCTGTACAAACCGCAGTTGTTTTTTAAAGTCTTGGTAGGGGATTAGCTAACCTAAGTAAGGGGGGTATAGAAGGCTGGTGAGCTGAGCAAACAGCAGTGGGAAAAGAGGCCCTTAAATCACTTGTGATCTAATCTGAGTATGATCTCTGTAATAGTTTACTACTGTAGCTATTAACTTTTGAAAGCCAGTTTGGCAGTCTCATAAGAGAATCCCAAAGGCTTACAGTACAGACCCGTTTACGTGGATGTCGGGAGTCAAGCCGTCACAACCACGTGTTAACAGACCGCGGGTTAAGAGGGCCGTGCTGAAATATAAGATATAAAATTATCTAGGATTACATATGTATTCACAGCGTCCCAAATACTGCAGGCCTATCTGTTAACATTGCTTTGCAAGAATATAAATTCAAATGTGTAATCTAATAAAAACATTATTATTATTTATTTATTTATTATTATTATTTATTACTACACAGGGGTGAAAGTAATTCAGGACACTTACCGGTGCGGGGCAGGGTGTCTTTGGCCCCCGGAAGGGGTGGGGCCTTGGGCGGAAGGGGCTGGGCTAGGGAGTCAGCATCTCCCAGCCAGGCTGCCTGGTCCGCACTGCCCGGAGCCCCTGGCCCTTTTTAAAATAGCCGGCCCCGGGGCAGCTGCTTCCTTTGCCACGGCAGTGCTTTAATGTTGCTGCGCCCCACCCCGTTGGCGGCCCAGCGCTGCTGCGACAAAGGACCGTCCTTAAAGCCCTGCCGCGGCAGCACTTTAATGTCCCTGCCCTTTTTGCCTCCCGGTTGGCGGCCCTGCTGGTAGGGCAGCGCTTTAAGGACGGTCCTTTGCCGTGGCAGTGCTTTGAGGATCCTTAAAGCGCTGCCGCAGCATTGCTGCCCCCCCTCCCCTCGGCAGTAAAGGCATACAACACGTTTCCGCTCCGCACTTCCTGTTGACTTCTATGTCAGTGAGTTAGTGAGCAAATCTGTAGCGCTACATAGCAAGTTCTTGTACTGCGTGTTAACGAGTCTCGCATGTTAAATAGGTAGCACTGGGAGGCATGGCGCTACCATGCGTTAAGCCGATTCACGCGTAAACGGGTCTGTACTGTATATACTGGCATTCTTTATGCATGTACGCTTTCCACTTTGTGTGTGCCAGTGCACTGAAGCCACAGAACTTTTTTCCATAAAGGTAACTTATGGGGGCAGCACCTGCACCCTCTGCCCATGATATAAAGGGGTGAAGCTGCCCCAACCCTCCTCAGTTCCTTCTCACTGCCTGTGATCAGTAGTCAAAGCATGTGTGTGTTAGTCATGCTTTCCCTTAACTTTCTCTAAGAAAATAATTTCCATTATGTACATAGTAGTTTATACTGATGGCTAGTGGTACTTGTTTTAGTAACCTGTTTAGTTTCTTACATTCTCTGGGCTTTAAACTCAGTAGCAGGGCATGTCTAGGTCTGTGGGATTTAAGTGCTGTTCCTGCTGTTAAAAATCCATGCCAGTCAGCGACCCTTATTCTAGTTGTTTAAAGTGTTTAGGAGAGGGTCGTGTATGACATAAGTCCCCTATGTGTATGGGTTTTAAGACCAGGACTAAAGTTGAGAGGAGTTTGACTTCGACATATCTTAATGGAAGCAGCTTTGCCCCCTCCAGTAAGAACCCAGCTGCTCAGTACATAGCGGTTTGGTCTCAACTCCATCTTGGCGTGCACTGCTAGACTTGGCAGTTCCCCTTGTCACAGGGAAGGCGTTCTCCTTCCCTGGTACCACATAAACACCAGAAGGAGTTGGATGCTTTCAGTTCCTCTAGCTAGAAGACGTTCTCTTCCACTTTGAGAGCCAAGCCCCCTATGGAGACTTATAAGAAGTAGTCTGGTATCAAGGTTAGAGCTCAGCCTAATCCAGTTAGGTATTCCTTGATACCACATTCATCATCTAGCAATATATCTGTTGACTCTGGCATCACTTTTGGTGCCATCAAGACAGATTCCATTGCCGGTACCTTCTACATCGACTTGGTTTGCGGTACACCCCAAGCTCTCAGAACCGACAATACCTGAGGTTTACACAGTGGTCAGGGACCTTCTTTGCCCCAACCCTACGTTCCATAACCCTAGTGACACATGCTTAACCTCTCCGTTGGGGAGCTCATTTAGGGGACTTCCAGGCTCAGAGTCTCTGGTCAGATCAGGATTTCTCCATCGATATCCATATTTGGGAGCGTTGAGCTATCTGCCTGGCTTGTCAAGTGTTTCTTCCCCACATCAAAGGTTGTTTGGTGCAGGTGCTCAGACAACACAGCTGCCATATCCTATCTAAATAAGTAGGGAAGTGCCAGGTCAAAGCCACCTTTGCCAAGAGGCAATGAACCTCTGGTCTTTCTGCATCAGGAAGGAGATTATGTTCAAAGCATCTCACCTTCCCAGGTCTTAAAACTGTCTAGTAATCTCAGCAGATTGTTAGCAGAGATCATGAATGGTTCCTCGGACCCGAAATAGCGAAGTCTATTTTTCAAATTTGGGGAATGCCAGAAATAGATCTATTCACCACCTGGCAGAACAGAAAGTGTCACCATTTCTGTTTGAGGGCAGGTCACAGCCTGGAGTCTGTGTCAGACTCTTTCCTACTATCCTGGAAGGGGAAATTTCTATACATTCTCCACCCCCCCCCACATCCTAATGGCTCCAAGAGTTTTGAGCAAGCTCAGACAGGATCATGCCCATCCAATTTTGATAGCGCCAGCCTGACCCCATCAGATTGAAAGGCTCAACAGATCCAAGAATCAGTTTGGTATCCTATAATGTTGCCTCAAGTTTTGGTCATAGTTTTGCAGGACTCTTCATCCTGGCCCTTTTGGCGTATGCTGGTGTCTTGGATGCCCAGTGGTTAACTCTCCTGGAAGCAGTCTGTTCACCTGGAGTTCAAAATGTTCTTTTAAATAGCAGGAAACCTTCTACCAGAATACATACCTCAAGAAATGGAAGAGATTTTCAGTGTGGTCCCAGCAGAAAGATCTCTCTCCTTCATGTGCTCCCATTCACTTAACTGGATTACCTGCTTCACCTAAAAGAAAGGACCGTCTGTCAGTTTTGAGAGTTCATCTGGCAGCTATCTCTGCATTCCATCCTCCTATAGAAGGAAAGATCTGTTTCCCCTCCCAATCCTCTGTGTGTTAGTGGCCTGAATATAAAGATAGTTATTTTAATAAAAATGGACCTCAAATTTTTTACCAAAGTGGTATTGGATTTTAATCTCAGAATGTATACTCACCAATCTTTTTTCTGAAACCTCATTCTCAAAGATAAGGAAAATCTTCAGACTGTGCATGTTGGTAGGACGTTAGCCTTTTACCTGAACAGGATTAAAGAGTTTAGAATGTCTCCAGTTGTTTATCTCCTCTGAAAGGAAGAAAGGGCAACCTACATTTGCAGAAGCTTTCTTCTTGGATCTCCTCCTGTATGTCTGTGCTATATTACTACTAATCCGCTACTTCAGAGAGTTGAGCACAAAACTATATCAGCTGTTTTCTTAAGTCACGTTCCCATCAGTGACATTTGCCAGGTTGAGATTTGGTCATTGGCTAATACCTTCACTACTCATTATGCTCTTTCCAAGGCCTCAAAAAAGGTAGATTTAGGAGAGTGGTATTGCAGTCTTTGTTTAGGTAGACTCTGTTACCCTCTTCCATCTGGAATTTCTAGTGAGTCACCTAAAGTGGAATGGACATGTGCAAGCACTTGAGGAATTAAAAACTGTTACATACCTGTTTGGTAACTCTTTGAGATGTCCATTCCATGACCCAGCCTCCTCCCCCTCTTCATTTGAGTCACAATTGATGTTGACTTTCAGTTTGAAGGAACTGAGGGATCAGGGCAACTCTGCCCCTTTATACCCTAGCTAGCAACATGAGCACGCGGAGTACCTGATACGGGTACTGCTTTGAAAAAAGTTCTGTCTTCGGTGCACATACCTAAAATGGAATGGATATGTGCAACACACCTGGAAGAACAAAAGTTACCAAACAGGTATGTAACCATCTTTACAGGTCTGAACCAAGGTGCATATGTGTGTATGGAAGCATGAACTGTACCTGTCGGCTTTATGCTTGGCTCAGACTGGTGCTGTGGGTCTATTTCATGAATGTTATTCAACCACAATAGAAGACTAGTATCAACAAAATAAGGAAGGTATATGAAACTTCTTGGAGATAAGTAATGCTTTTGTCTGTCATGTCTTATCTGTACACGTATCTTAACATTTCAACAAGGATTGAGAAAACTTAATAGAAAATAGATCAGTATGCAAATCAATTAGTGAAAAGCATTAAATGTTAAAGGAAAGTAGTGATAGGGTTGTGGAGAATCAAACTGTGTGCTATGGGAAATCACCCTGCTTTCCTTAGTCTCAGTACTATGGATAATCTTCTAAATTTAATTTTGATATGCTGTAATTTCTCTGACAGGATTTTAAGAATTTTATGTTACAGAAGCAAGTTTGATGTTTTGTCAATTTTTTTGGGTTAAAACAGCAGTAGTGACAGCAGCAGCTCACAAGGTTTATCTCAGCCCTCTACACAGACGACACAGTACCTGAGAGCTGACACCCCTAACAATGCCACACCAGTAACCAGTAAGTATTAATCTAATTACAAAAATGTACAACAGGTGACTCTGGGCTGGCCTAGTGTCCCAATGATGAGAAGTGCCCTATTGATGACATTCATATTGACCAAGAGGGAGGAGCATGAACAAGATCTGGGCTTGGCATCTGTTTAGCCTGTGCTTCCTGGGCCTCTGATACCAATTTGCCAGCCAAAATTCTTCTTTAAGGTCACAAGCACGGGTCAGTCCTGGGTCAGCTACTATTCAATATTTTCATTAATGACTTGGATAATGGACTGGAGAGTATGCTTATAAAATTTGCAGATGACACCAAGCTGGGAGGGGTTGCAGCGCTTTGAAGGACAGGATTAGAATTCAAAACAGCCTTGACAAGTTGGAGAATTGATCTGAAATCAACAAGATGAAGTTAAATAAAGATGTGCAAAGTACTTCGCTTAAGAAGGAAAAATCAAATACACACTACAAAATGGGGACTAACTGTACTGCTGAAGGTGAGGGGGTGGTAGTACAGTGGAAAAGGAGCAAGGGGTTATAGTGGATCCCAGATTGAATGAGTCAACAATGTGATGCAGCTGTAAAATGGCTAAAATCATTTTGGGGTGTATTAACAGGAGTGTTGTGTGTAGGAAAAGGGAGTGCTCTACAGGGTACTGATGAGGCCTCAGCTGGAGTACTGTGTCCAGTTCTGGGTACCACATTTTAGGAAGGATGTGGACGAATTGCAGAGATTCCAGAAGAGAGCATCAGGTTTTCTGAACTTTATACCATTTTTGATCTGAGGAAAGGTTTAATCATGTTTCTTCATGAGAAAAGACTGAGGGGGGACCTGATAAGTCTTCAGGTATGTTAAGGGCTGTTATTAAGAAGGACAGTGATCAATTGTTCTCCATGTACACTGAAAGTAGGACAAAAAGTAATCGGCTTAATCTGCAGCGAGGGAGATGTAGGTTAGATATCAGGAAAAGATTTCGAGCTACAAGGGTAATTAAGTTCTGGAATAAGTGTCCACTGGAGATTGTAGAGTCCCCGTCAATGGAGGTTTTTAAGAATAGGTTGGGATTCTCAGACTTAATTGCACCTCGACCCCTTTCTGACAACAAAAATTACTACACGACCCAGGAGGGCGGGACCAAAGCCTGAGCCTGCCCAAGCCCTGCTGCCTCGAGTGGGAGGGCCAAACCCAGCCCCAGGCTTCAGCCCCAGGCAGGGGGCCTGTAATCTGAGCCCTGCCACTCATGGGTGAAGCCCTCGGGCTTCGGCCCCAGCAAGTCTAACACCAGCCCTGGTGACCCCATTAAAACGGGGTTGCAACCCATTTTGGGGTCGCGACCCAAGGTTTGAGAACCACTGGATTAGACAAACACCTATCAGGAATGGTCTAGGTTTACTTGGCCCTGCCCCAGTGCTGGGGGCTGGACTTGATGACTCGTTGAGGTCCCTTCCAGCCCTGTATTGCTATGATTCTATAGAATCCTAGAATATCAGGGTTGGAAGGGACCTCAGGAGGTCATCTAGTCCAACCCCCCCTGCTCAAAGCAGGACCAATCCCCAGACAGATTTTTTTTGCCCCAGATCCCTATAATGGCCCCCTCAAGGATTAAACTCTCAACCCTGGGTTTCGAAGGCCAATGCTCAAACCACTGAGCTATCCCTCCCCCTATGATAAGCTCTGCTATGTCATTTCGCCAGTTTAGGCAAACTACATGTTGCTATTCTGTCCAAGGCATCATCACATCTGTATGAATCTGTGGTTTTGCTGCTTATCCTTCAATTAGATATTTTTTGCATTTGGGGAGAAATGTCTCTACTCCTCTGCTTTATCAGATGCATCTATTCTAGCTGTCTCTGGCCATGTCTATGCTACAAACTTTAGTTGACACCAGAACTGACTGGACTGCAGTAGAGTCTCAAATAGATTCTGGCTTGTGGCATCACTTGCCCCCCTCATCCTCCTCACCCTTACTGTTCATACTGGGGGTCTGTGACTTGGGCTCCTCGGAGGTATCCACAGTGGTCTCTGGGTGACAGTAAGGTGTCTACCAAGTATGGCATGCAGCTCTTTGTAAAAGAGACTGTTGGCCCCCTAGCCTTCTGATATGCCTCATGCTGTTCCTTGGCTTTCTAGCAGCACTACTCCTGATCCCTTTCATACACCTTTTCCTGCATCCCCTGTGCAATCTGCTTATAGATGTTGATGTTCCTATGACTGCAAAGCCTCTTCTCCCAGTAGGCCCAGGAGATCCAATATCTCCTGTCTATTCCAGGACAGAGTGCATCTGGATCTGTAGCCGACATGGTCAGCTGGGCAAGAGGCAGTGGAAAGCTGCTAGATGTGCTCGCTGAGCTGGGTGGCCAGGAAAAGGCATTTCAGAAATTTGCTGGTTTCCATAACCCCTGGGCAGTGGAGTTCACAATTATGACCGGAGTGGTCAGTGATGGGCATTGTGGGACAGCTGCTGAAGGATTGTGTTAGGGTCGAAATAAGTAACCCAGTGTCTACACTTGCGCTGCATCGACTTCAGTACCTTGACCATGGCTCAGCGTCGCTCGGGAAAGTGGTGATACTGCTTTGCTGTATTTGGATGCTTATATTCGTGGGAAATAATTTTAAGTGTAGACACTTGCATAGCTAGGTCCACGCAAGGCAGCTTACTTTGATCTAACTGTGTCGTGTAGACCAAGCCTCTGTGTATCCACTGATGCCTTGCCTAATCCTTCCGAGGAGCTTTCTTATGCAGTGCTTTAGGATTTCTTGAAAACAGCAAATAGCAGTATGTAAGAGAAAAAGATCTGCAGGAAATAGATGAGAGAGGGTCAAGCATCTTCATTTAGGGCTCAGGCTTGGACATCAGTATGAAGTACTAACGCTTATTTCTGGGTGCTGTTTCCCTGCATGTTGCTGCTCCAGGCAGAGCAGAAAATAAATTTAAAAGCTCTGCAAGTGTGGTGATGCTTCAGCATTTAATTATCTTCTGCTTTATCTGGAACAACATAGTGGAGGTAAATATGAGGAAATAGAGTTATGAAGCATATGAGGGAAGATATAAGAACAGCCATGCTGTGTCAGACCAATAGTCCATCTAATCTAGTATCCTGTCTTCTGACAGTGGCCAATGCCAAGTGCTTCAGAGGGAATGAACAGAACAGGCAGTCATTGAGCGATCCATACCCTGTTATTGAGTACCAGCTTCTGGCTGGCAGAGGCTTCGGGACACCCAGAGCATGCAGTTGCATCCCTGACGTTTTTGGCTAATAGCTGTTGATGGACCTATCTTACATGAACATATCTCATTCTTTTTTGAACCCTGTTATAATTTTGGCCTTCACAACATCCCCTGGCAAGGAGTTCCACAGGTTAACTGTACGTTGTGTGAAGAAGTCCTTCCTTTTGTTTGTTTTTCATTTCATTGGGTGACCCCTAGTTCTAGTGTTTATATGAAGGAGTAAATAATACTTCCTTATTCACTTTCTCCACACCATATGGGGAAGCAACAAAGGATTAGGAGGGGAAACCAGGAAGTACTGAGGGAGCTGTAGATACAGGTTAGGGGAAGAGAAACTGCTGATGAAAAAGGCCCTGATCCTATAACCACTGAAGTCAGTGGGAGATTAGCCATTGATTTCCATGTTTGCAAGATAAGGCTTTGGGAGAGGAAGAAAACATCTTAAAAAGTCAAAAACAAAATAATACCTAAATGAAAATTGGGAAAGATTCAGGAAAGAGAATGAAAAAAAGACAGAACACAGATTCAGAGATGACTCTGTTAACTGAGCTGTGGAAGATGTGGGAGACCGGATGCTTGTGATGAGAGAATAGCAAGTAGATATTGTGCAGAGGTGGATGCATGAGAAGCATCCATGAAAGGAAAAAGGAGCAGACAGTGTGAAAGCCTGTCACACAATCAATGCTCATTGCATGTTTAAACCATTAACTTTCTAGTAAGACTATATGTCCCCACCATCTTATTTCTCTCCAGTACCGAAAATCAGCCCAATCCATTTCTCCTTAACCTTTCCCATCTCTTTTCCTCTTTTGATGTTTTATCTATTGTCACCTTTGTTGGAAGTCACTTGAGAAGTCTGGGAAAGGAATTGGACTGAGCTTTATAGTGGAGATGACTGACTGATCAACTTCACCTCTGGTAGGAGAGTTCCTGAGTAAGAAATTCATTTATAAAACTACAACAGTAAGGAGGAATTGCCCCTCTCCCCATGCCATACTGCCATAGCAGTCAAAGAGGGAGTCTGTTGGCAGTGGATTCTCTGGCATGGCTTGAGGGTTCTGGAACTTGCTCCCCCTCTGGTCAGAAAGAGCCCACATTTGGAGACCTTCTGGGCAGGCTGTAAGAGCAGGGGCAGCTCTATGTATTTTGCCACCCCAAGCACGGCAGTCAGGCGGCTTTCGGCGGCATGCCTGCGGGAGGTCCGCTGGTCCCGAGCCTTCGGCGTACCCACCGCCGAAACCGAGGGACCGGCGGACCTCCTGCAGGCATGCTGCCGAAGGCAGCCTGACTGCCGCCCTCACAGGGACCGGCACGCCGCTCTCCGTGGCTTGCCGCCCCAGGCACACGCTTGCTGCGCTGGTGCCTGGAGCCACCCCTGTGTAAGAGACATCTGTTAATAGGGTTTTTGAAGAGGGCTAAACACATGATTAGACTGTAGAAAGGTGCTTTTCTCATAGGTGACTGGCTAGCAGAGTTCCTTTTAAATGCGTTTAATGTTGCTGGGGTTTTGTTGTAATATGTCCAAAGCTTTGTACAGGCGTCTTTTTTTTTAAATTGAAATAAATAGATGAGAAATAGCTTCACTTTGGCTTGTAATATCCAAATTTAGACCTGCCTACTGCACTTCTTGTACTCAATCATATAATTATGACTAATATTTTCTCCTAAATGATCAACTTAATTGCATATACTGTAATTTTTTTCTTACAGAAACATCCTTAATGGCTGATCTAACTTTTTCTATCTAATCTATGAAGGATTGAGTTAATAGTTTGATGCTATATTTAAAACAAAGATCGTGTTCTTTAAGTCTATGTCCACTAGAAAATCTCTCTCAAAGTTTTAGTGCCATCAGTGTGCTTGATGTTTTACAGTACACACAATTAAAGACAGTCTCTCCCCCAGTGAGCTCATAATCTAGAAGGTAGACACACAAAAACAAGAGGATGAGGCAGAATTCAGGGATGGTGGTAATGTACTAGTTTGAAATTAATTTGTTGCTTGTATGGTAGACATCAGAGTTGGGTTTTAAATGGGGACTTGAATGAGGCGGGATAGTGGTTTGAATGGGAACAGCTGGTATAAAAAAATCCTGTAGAAAATGTGTTTTTGGTGGAAATTGAAAACCCAAGAACTTGGGCTGAAAATTTCAGTTTTTGCTGAAAAATCAAAATTTGCTATGCAACGTGCACATCTCACAAAGTTATTTTATTCAAAAACTTTTTTTTTGTCTCAGAAGTTTTGACTGTCTCTAGAATGGGCATCAGCAGTGTGTTCCAGACGTGCAGCAGTGTGAGAGAAAAAACATGGAGTCAGGAGTATTGAGAGTGTAAAGGAAGGAAAGGGTCTCTAGGGCTGGAGATAATGTACTAAGGCATGAGGTCAGAGATGTAGGGTAGGTCTATGAAGGCTTTCCATGCCAATTATGAGGAATGTGAACTTGATGTTGTATTTCAGAGAGCCTGTTTTGAGAGATCCAAAGAGGAGGTGACATGGCTGGGCTAGCAGGTGAGGAATATGTCTTTGCACAAGGAAGGTGTGAACTGTCAGTGAAGCCAGAGAGGAGGAACTAACTCCACCTTCCTGTTAACCCCAGCTGCATATTTCTCTCAATAGAAATATATCTCCAGTGGCTAGTTTAGAAAGAGTAAAACTGTAAATCAAGTCACTTTTTTGTTCTTGACAATGCTCAGCTGTTTGCCTCAGCACTTGGCAGTTCCATGTATACTGGCTGAGTTTTGTTTAGCAGTGGGATAAGTTGAGGTTTTAATCATATTTCACTATTCTGCTACCTAGAATAGGGTGAATGTGTTAAAGTAAAAATATTAAAACATTCATTTAAAAAAAAATGCTCATATAACCAAAAACTTTCCACTGTTTATTCTTCTCACTGTGATGTTACTTACGCCACCAGTACAGTATATCAGGAGAAATTTCAGCGAACCTCCTTCGCCTTCACAAATAGTCTTAATCTCAAGTAAATTTTCCTGATGCCTCCAACTGGAGGAAGTTGTGCATTTATAATCTCCAATAACAGTCCTCGAAATTGCATACACTTATCTTCCCTAACAAAGTGAATTCTGAAGTCTGAGTTCACTCTCCTCTAACAAAAAAAGCTCCTGAAAAGGTGATTTACAAATAGAATTAAGAAACTCTTAATTAAGAAACTATTTCAAAATTATGATGAATGCCCACAAGAGGTCAGAAAAGGACATTAGCATACAGTGATTTTAGATCTACCTTTTTCCCAAACCCTCCTCGCCTTTCTTACGCGCTATGCTGGTGATGTCATATCAAATATAGGAGCAACCCAGTGGGGTTTCAGATAAGTTACACTTTAGTTACTTTGGCAGGATCTTGAGCCCCTGGAAACCTATTAATGAGCCTAAAAAAAGACATTCACACGATCTTCTTTAGGCAGAGCCGTACTCCAGCAGGCTCCCTTGATTGATGGAATGTGGTTTGTGCTACCTGTGAATACATATGCAATAGTTAACTCTCCTATGAGGTGGGTTTGTTTTGTTATCTTTGGATGAAAGATGTCGTGTAAATTAAAATGATTGCACTACACTGGTGATGTCACATAATCTAGGTTTCTTTAGGTCTTACAAAGGATCCTACTCTCAGTACACATACTGTTTGTATGAAACCAGCTTTACTTTTGTGCTTTATGACAATAAACATCAAACCAGATTTACAGTGGCAATGCTGTGTATCAGCATTACCATGGTGAGACTTCTTGCTAAATTGAGTTCAACCTACATTTTTCTATTTCTAAGGATCTTTTACCTGTTGTCTGAGACCCATACCGATGGGGAAACAGTAGAAATGACTAAACAGAAAATATATGTACAAAGTAAACTGAAAAAAAAAATCATTTTTCTCTGACCTACTTTGGTTTTAGTAATCTTAAGTGTTAACTTGTAACAAATTTTGAATAAATATGACTTTCAAGTTGTCCCTTTAAACATTTATCCATGGACTCCATTACTACTATCATTAAAACCTGCCTGAATATAGTCACCTCTTTAGAAGTCTCAAATGTCCAGAAGAGGGCACTGATGTGTCTGTGCTTTTCAGATTGCTGTTGTAATCCATAGTAAGAAGTTGGCTTCATTGTAGCCATGTACTGCACAGTTCTGAGCATGATTGTTTGTTTAGTTGCCCACCAATCTGTGCATTTGGTTAAGGCAATAACTGGCTTAAGTATATAACAAGGTAAACAAATAAAAACTGAATGAGTTGGTTATATAGAATGACTGAGCATGTGCTCACTTCAGAGGCATTTATATTCATGTTGCCTTTCTCAATATATTTTCCAGCTTGTATTTTATGCTGAAACCTAATCTCGATTACTTACAACTTGGCATTAATTTGTGTTCTTTCCATCTGTAGGTGGTATTGAGGGAAGTGATGTGCTTGGATTCTCATTATAAGGGTATTTATATTGGTTTGTTTGGCTCTGCTGGCTCCTCAGGTTATCCTACATTACGTATAGAGAAGAATGATCTTAAAAGCGTCACCTTGATGGAGGCAAAAGCTAAAGTGAAGGACATAGCAATCTCCAGAGAGAGGATAACTCTAAAAGATGTACTCCAAGAAGGTATTTACAAGACTTTCCTTAAACACTTGCTAGGTACCATGAGTGATGTATTCTTTTGTCCTCACATGATTTTCTCCCCAAGAATGTTACACATGGACAGTAGATGTTACTTCTGATCCTTATGTGATTTTTGTTGAAGATGTAAGGAAATGATTAGAAACTTGAAATATGCATACTATTTGTCCAACAATTCACTTCTTTAAAAATGCTTTTCTCTTATTTTCTGGTCTCTTGAATTCCTCAAACTAAATTATTGTGAAAGGTGGCATTTCAATTAGTCTGTCTTGATAATATATTCTATTTAAATAAGTCTTAGCATTTGATCAGGCTCTCCCATAAAGTGTGGGCTGACTACCTGCAACTCAAAGTGATGGCAAAATAACTCATTTTCCAATGGTAGAGAAAGCGCTTCAAGCGCTTCACTGAAAAATTCAGTCAGCCTTTAAACTTTATTTTAGCAGTCTCCCTTTCAATTCAGCCAAATTAGAGAATGCTAAATGAAGACTCAGATGACTACCACAATGTGAGTAATGGGTGCAGAATAAATAGATTGTGGATGTGAAAGTTCACAAGAAGAGAGATCACTTGATTCTTTTCTGTCTGGCTCAGTGTTTTTCATTTTGAAAGTACACTTGTAGATTTATGTTGACCTCAGTTTTGTATCTATTAATGTAGAAGTAAAGAAACTGATTTTAAAAATAGCTGTTTTCATGTTCTCTCAGTAATCTGTACAATTACAGTAGATCTATGCTCTTGTGTATCTTCTCCAAAGCATGACCGGAGTTAGAACACTAAAAGCTAGAGATCTGAGCTATTAAATCACCTCGTGAGAGCTTATGCTGAATCTTTGCGAGGAGATATAAACTAATTGCCTCTGTTCTTTTTCTTGAAGTGAACAAAGCCACTTGAGTATTCACGTTACACTTATCCAAAACTTTTTAAACCTTAGTGAACTTTGTTCTTCTGCCTCAACTAGTTGATTCCACAAAAAAGAGCTGTTTTTAAGGGCTCTTGAACCATTAATTTGCTTCCTTTGTGTGTAGGGGAAAATCTTTTAATTTTCTACTTCCAGACATTAACTCTAATGCAGAGAGGCATCTAAAGAATTGAAACAGCAAGCATCCTCAAATGCCACCCCAGGTATGCTCATAAATGTCCACAACAAAGAGAAATAGGGTTGCTCGTCTTGTCTTGGAAAGGATCCAAGTGCTTCTGAAGGCAAGATATGCACAAATAATACTGCCTTGTAGCTGAATTGTAAGAGACACTTCAGATTTATATTTGGCATGCCTGAAGCTTTCTGACTTGATTTGAAGTGTGTCATAAGCTTCAAAGGCTATAGGCTCAAGTGAGTGTCCCACTTGAAGTCAAGCTTCTAAGCCAGAATCATCCATTTCCATTCAAAATTTTAGCAGTGCTTTGGCTGTAAGTGATCAAGAAAAAGAAATTTTCAGTCAAAGGGGTCTATCAGTAGAAGTATTAGTAAACTTTTCAGAAGTGCTTCAGTCCTATTAAAAGTCAATGGAATCTGAAGTTAGTTATCCCACACCTGAAAATCTTGTCCAGAACTTATTGCAGCACACACTTTCAGTTGTTTCAATATACACAGGCAAAAGTGTATTATGGAAGCTCTCGCCACTTGACTCTGTGCTCTGCACACTATTTCCAGTGGAACAGGGGACATACAAGGCCAGGGGGAGGTCCTGATCATGGATGTAGACCTCACTTTCTCCGTTAGACATCTAAATAAGTGGCCTGACTTTCAAATGTGCTGAACCACCCATCTCCTGTTGGTGAGGTGAGAGGAGCATTATAGCGAGAAGAGGTCAGGAGAGGTTGTACCATTGTTCTAAAACATTGGGGTGTGCCCAGCAGCACAATTGTCGTTGTTTTGGCACAGTGTCATGACACCCAAACACGTGGCACAGTGCTGGGTTACAGCACTGCAACATGACTAGGTTTTGAGGAATTCTGCAAAACTAGCTGGTGTGAGTCCCCAAAAGTTGGTTCTAACAAAGCTTTTAATTTGGCTAAATTTAAATGGGACAGATGATAATGGTAGGTAGACGTGCCAGTTTCTGGTAAGCTAGATTAATGGCTTCAATTTTGGAGCACTGCAAATTTTGGAGTTTTCAAGGAGCATAGACTGAAGAGCGTGGAGCAATTGTAATTAATACTTCAGGAAACAAGAATGCTGTCTGTATAGTTTCTATACATTTTCATAAGGATTTTATATTAATATTGACTGTTCTGATGTATTATAAAAATCCTACATGAAATTGTGTGTAAAGTGAGACAGAGTATATCAGTGTTGTGCTTAAATACTGGAGTATATGAAAGATTAACTTGTTATAACGGCCTTCATCCCAACAGTTCATGATTACAAGGTAGGTAGATACCAGCTACAGTACTGAAGATGGGAAGAATAATGCTAAAGTTATAATATAAAATGTCCTTGCTTTTGTGGGATTCTTCAAGCCTTTGTAGAATTGTAACATAGATCTAAAGTACCTTCAGCAGTGCTGTTTTCAAGTCTGGAATGGAGGGAGGAAAACTGGCTTGCTTTGCTTTTTGAAACAATCCAGGCTGTGTATTTATGATTGATTGCATGTGTCAAGGCTGATTTCCCCACTCTGGCACTTTGAGTGCTGATGGTGGGGGCCTGCAAGGATTCTAAAAATTAATACTGGCCACTCCAGGCTGGTATTAAACTCCCACGGTTACAGCTTTTCGCTGACCTTGGATGGGTAGATGCTGCCATCACCCAAGTGCATAAAAAACCCTGTGAGACCCCAAGAAGGTGCACTTTGGAATTCCTTCCTGTGGCGTACCCTCAAGCCCTTTCACTCCCCCCTCCAGGGAAGATCTGAGAAAGAAAACAAAGGAAATCAGCTGTTGTCACCAGCTAATTAGACAACATATGCACAAACCTCTTAGGACACACAAATCCAATCCTGTTTTTTTTTAAAAAAAAGTAAATTGTATTAAAAACAAAAAGAAAGGAAATACATTTGGAACTTAGGCTTTTTGCTAGATTAAAAAAAAAAACAATTACAAAAATTAAGCATTAAGGTAGCTCTCTTGAAGGTTACAAGCAAAACAAAGCACCTGTGATTAGCACAGAAGAGTCCACAAGCCATAAAGAAATGAGATGAACCTAATCGCGTCTTCCTAGACATTTCCTGATCTACTTACATATCTGGGGTTTCAAATCAGTAGTTTCTAGGTATGATCTGGTAACTTTTTCATACCTCGCCCACAGCTTTTTACAGCATAGCTGCTCTGTCTCTCCTCTCCGGAGAGAACAACAGATAGACAGACAAAGGGAAAGTGTTCTCCCCCCCCCCCCCCCATTTTAAAAAGTTCTAGCCCTCCCATTGGCTCTTTTGGTCAGGTGCCCACTCCCTTCCTTTTACCTGTGGGCTTTTTTAACCTTTTTACAAGTAAAGCAAGTAGAGAACAGCTACTAACAGGGATTTTATAGCTAACTGGCTGGCTGGAGGTCCTTAAAAGGGAGCTGCTCCCCCCCTTCATTTATCACAGCATGTTAGCTCTCTTTAGAGCGTGTCTGTGGAGGTAATCTGTTTTTCCTGTAGTTAGTATATAGAAATTTGCATCTTACTATAGTAGCACATTGTGCTAGGCACTGTACAATCACAGTTCCTATTCTGAAGAGTGTACAATCTAAGGGCACATCTACACTACAAAATTAAGTCAATTTTATGTAAGTTGACATCGAGCCTCCAATTTAAGCAAGTCAATCTTGCGTGTCCCAACTATGCTCATTGTGTCGGTGAAGTGCATCCTCACTAGCAGGGCTTGCATCAATGCATGGAGCACTGCACTGTGGGTAGCTATCCCACAGTGCATGTAGCCGAGTGGAATTTTGGTTTGGGCTTGCAATCCCTTATGGGACCAAAACATTTGCGCGGGTGGTTATGGGAATATGGTGTTAGCCTCCCATGATGCACTTACCTCCCTCCCTGAAATCAGCGCGGCAAAGAAACCAAGCCTTTTTTGCACCTTGTTTTGTAAACCTTCGTTACCTGCACAGACGCCATAGCATGGTAAGCATGGACCCCGCTCAGCTGTACGTTGTTGTGAGCATTACAAACACCTCGTACCTTATCCTGCAGTATTTACTCATCCAAAGCAGGTGCCGCCACGCAGAACAGTGTGATACCATGGAAGCATTACTGCTGGAAGCCATTGAGCGGAGCAATTTGCAGTTGCTAGTGACAGTCGCGACACGGTGGAACGCTGCTTCTGGGCCCAGGAAACAAGCACTGACTGGTGGAACCACATCTTTATATGATGAGCCGTGGCTGCAGAACTTTCGAATGTGTACGGCCTCTTTAATGGAACTGTGTGAAGAGCTTTCCCCTGCCCTGAAGTGCAGTACTAAAATGAGAGCTGCTCTGACAGTTGAGAAGTGAGTGGCGATAGCTCTATGCAAGCTTGCAACTCCAGACTACCAGTCAGTGGGGAATCAATTCGGAGAGGGTAAATCTACCATGGGGTCTGTTGTGATCCAAGTTTGCAGGGCAATCAATAGACTTCTGCTAAGAAGGGTAGTCACTCTGGGGAACGTGCAGGACAAACTGGACGGTTTTGCCACGATGGGGTTCCCTAACTGCGGTAGAGCTATAGATGGAATTCATATCCCTATCTTGGCACCAAACAACCTTGCCAAAGAGTGCATAAGCCAAACAGGATACTTCTCAATGATGTTGCAAATACTTGTGGATCACGGGGCTGTTTCACTGACCTCAACGTGTGATCGTCGGGAAAGGTGCATGACACATGCATCTTTAGAAACTCTGGTCTTTCCGGACTGCAAAATAACCATTGGTGATGTTGAAATGCCAATTGTGATCCTGTGAGACCCAGCCTACCCATGGCTCATGAAGCTGTACACAGGCAGCCTGGACAGCAGTAAGGACCGCTTCAACCATAGGCTGAGCAATCGCAGAATGGTGGTGGAATGTGCCTTTGGGCATTTAAAAGGCCACTGGCATTGTTTGCTTACTAAGTTAGACCTCAGTGAAAGCAATATCCCCATTGTTGTTGTTCCTGCTGTGTGCTCCATAATATCTGTGACACAAAGGAAGAAAAGTTTCTGGCAGAGTGGGGGTTGAGGTAGATCGCCTGGCAGCCAATTTTGAGCAGCCAGACACCAGGGCAATAAGAAGAGCACATCAAGGGGCTCTGCGTCTCTCTGAGGCTTTGAAAAACAGTTTCAGCAATGACCCTCAGTAATGTGACACTTGTGTGTTGTTCCTTACCAACTTGTCCTCTTCATTGCATTTTCTCCCCTGTAAACTCCACCCCCAGTAACCAGAGTGCGCTGAATGAATAAAGAGCCCTTTCTCCTCAATCTATTAAGTTTTATGCTCACAAACACACAGAGACAGCAAAGAAAAGTAAGTTAACTGGGGCAAAAGGGCTCATAACACGGGGGTGGGGGGGAACAAGGAAAGCTTGCTTACAATTGCACTGCAGTAACAATCAAAGGTGTGGGAATGGGCACCTTCTGGTCCTTGTACCCTCCCCTGGAGTTGAGTGCAAGGGATACCAAACCTCCCCCCGCCTCATAGGACATTTGGGAGAGGAGGATATAGAATTGGGTGATGATGGCAGCAGGTTCAGCATAGGCTGCAGAGGGACTCGAGCATCCAGCTGCCTTTCTTAAACCTCAACCAGACGCCTCAACATGTTTGTTTGCTCCTTCATAATCCGCAGCATCTCATCCTGCATGCTTTCCTGTCCTCCCTATCCTTGTGCAGGTTGTCGGACAATGTAATCCTCCATGCTCTGAGCTCCGTCTTCTCACTCTCGGAGGCGCGCATTAACTCATTGAACATGTCCTCCCTAGTCTTCTTTTTCCACCTTCTAATCTGGGAAAGTCTCTGTCCTGGTGTGAGGGATGCACCGACGAACAAGGTTTCAGCTGCAAGGAATGCAAAAGTTTGCAGAGTACCTCAATGAAAGCTTCCTAGAGATCTCCATGGAGGATTCCAGGGCCATCCCCGTGCACATAAACAGTCTTTTTCTGAGAGCACCTTCTGTGTAGCTGCAGTGGCCACCGATAACCATTACACCTACTTTTTTGTTCAGATTAAACATTAAAAATAATAGTTCGTAACCCTTACAGTGTGATTGGAAATGTGTACTCTCCAGAGGTGCCTTCCCTGGCATCATCCTCCGCCGACAATTCATCCTGTGAGGGGATGGGCTCCAGGGTTAAAAACAGTTCTTGGCTATCAGGGAGTGGATCCTCCCCTCACCTGCCTCACATCCTGCTCCTCCTCCTCTTCCTTGTCAACAATGTCCTCCTCGTTGTTGCTCGAGGTCACCCGGGGCTCCTAGGAGGTACCCACAGAGCATTTTGGGGTAATGGTGGGGTCACCACCAAGAATTGCATGCAGCTTCTCATAGAAGCGGCATGTCTGTGGTGCAGAACCAGAACAACTGTTCACCTCCCTTGTCTTCTGATATGCTTGCCAAAGCTCTTCTATTTTCACGTGGCACTGCTCTGTGTCCCTGGTGTATCCTTTCTCCCTCGTGCTCCACGTGATTTTGGCACAGATGTCAGCATTTCTTCTGCTGGATCGGAGCTCTGCCTGCACAGACTCTTCTCACCACACAGCAATAAGATCCAGTACCTCCTATGTACTCCATGCTGGAGCACATTTGCAGCCTTGAGTCTCCATGATCAGCTGTGCTGGCAAGCTCTCCAAACTGATCAAACAGGAAATGAAAATTCGAAAGTTCCCGGGGCTTTAACAGGGGAGTGGCTGTTTCCTGTGTACCTTGCTGTCGTGTAGTGGCATTGAAAGCGCTCTCCAGAGCAGTCACAGCAGAGCACTGTGGGACACCACCTGGAGGTCAATTCATTTGAATTATACAACGCAATGTCTACACTATCCCCATGTCGATCCGTGGACAACGAATCAAATGCTATGCCTCTTGCGGAGATGGAGTACAGAAGTGTACTTTCCAGGCCACTTAGGTCGGCGGAAGGGACTTGGTAGTGTAGACACACACATTATTAAATCAACCTAATGCGTCTTATGTCAACCTAACTTTGTAGTGTAGACCATGCCTAAGTAGATGAGACAGACAAAGGGTAGGGAAAGGAATAACACAAGTAGAGTGAACAATGCAATGGTGACAAAAGTCCTGTTCTGTGAATTTTGTTTTAATCCTTTCAGTGGGGTTATGTTAAGTGGAATTGGAGATTAGCTAGATAAAAGACAAAGGAAGGGGGATGTGTGTTGGGGGGTATTGGAGCAGTCAGCACAGGAGAGAATGTTCACAATGCAAACTTCAGAAAGCAGTCTGCTGTGAGTATGTTGGTCCTTGCTTTAAGTGCTATCTGCAGCTATTGTACTGTTTCACTCTGTCTTGGTTGATCCCTATACTTTGTCCCAAAGGCCACATGACTATTTTTTTGGGGGGAGGAGGGGGAATCATAACACAAAAGTCCTAGTGCCCCTCGTAGGGGATGTGGGGGTGTCTTCTACACAATTCTGAGTCTGGTAGCTTATGTGGGCATGGATTGACAGTTTTGTTTTAATGAGGTATTCAAAGTCTGTCTTAAATATATTTTTGCCTTCCAAATCTCACTGCAAAAGCATCCAAACTTTCTGCTGCATCCTACAAGAACATAATTTGTAATAACCCATCAAAGTGTGTTTTAAAAGGTTTTTCTAATCTCGTAATATATTAACTATACAATACAATAATTTTGCATGGTCTTTCCATAGGCACCTTTGGACGCATTTTCCATGGAATTTTAATAGAGGAAAAAGACCCCAGTAAAGAGAAACAAGTTTTTGTCAAAACAGTCAAAGGTAGGTTTTATTGTAGTGTTTCTCCCTCATGTTGTTCAAGTAGACTATGGCATGTTCACTGCATCAAATCTGCCTTTTAAAATGGTAAGTAAAGTACACAGGTATATGTACACTCTCTTCCCAATGGCTGCCTTCTCCATAAAAGCATAAGCTTGGTAATGCTGCCATCAGAAATGGTCAGGAATAGAAATCTACTGTGCAAGAAAGATTGGATGTACCCTCCACCAGAGGTGCCAGTTACTGCATCCTTAATCTCCTTGTTTTCCAGGGCTTTAGTTCTATGTTAGTTAGAAATGTCAGTTAAAGTTTGTTTTTCAGATGTTGATATTACAGAAAAATAATTGAAATATGAGCTCTTTAACCTGTTTTGTGCCCCCTCTATAAACTCCGTTTTAGAAAGAATGGGTAATTACACACGCTGTAATCCTAAATTTTTTTTATTTATTAAGTAACATGAGTATACAGGCGTCTGTACTAAACGTAGAGGAAGAAGAGATGGCTGCTGCCCAAGATGTTTCCATTCTAAATTAGACAGTGGTTCAGATATACAAAGCATTAGATGGTCTCATTTTAAAATCATGCAGACTTGTTTAACCCATTTTCCCTTTTGTTGTAAGGTTAATAGGTTTTTGTAGAAGCGTACTTTAAGGGGTCTTTAGATGCTGATGGATAGATCTTCCTCCGCTTTCATGATGTGCCTAAGTGCATACTAAAGTTATATGAAGGTCATGTTTCCACAGTGCAACAATGGAGCTGCACTATGGAGGTATGATTTCTAAAGCGCACAATGTATCACGCACCAATTGGTCTATGTAGACCCTTCTGGTGCAGACTACGAGTTCCCTAGTGCATTTTAAGTCAGTACCTTCCAAACACATTAATACAAGACATTAAATTGCACTAGGGAACTGTAGTGGGGCGCCTGCCCCACTCCTGGAGAACAGGGGTTAAAAGTAGCCAAGCTAGGCTGATTGGGGAAGCAGCCACAGCTGGGGCCAGGTCCAATTGGGGCCCAGCTGGCCCTGATAAAAGGGCTTTGGGGCCAGGAGACAGGAGTCTCTCTCCAGCCATGGAGGGAGAAGGGCTAGCTGCCTGAGAGGAAGGTACCTGAACTGGAGCAGTGCTGGGGAATAGGGCAAGGGAGCTGGGGAGCTCCAACCTGGTAAAACCCCAGGCTGCAGGCCTTGTTGAAGGCCTACAGAGGTACTGGGGCTGCAGAGATACAGCCTGGGAATAGGCAAAGGCAGCAGGTCCTAACCTCTTGCCAATGAGTGGCCATTACAGACTGCAGTCTGCCCCAGTGAGTGGGGGCTAGATGACTGGCAGTAGCCACTGAGGCAAGGTGGGTTTAGAGGGTTGGGGGTTCCCCTGGGAGGGGAAACCCAGAGTTAAGGGGGTTCTGTTGGGTGCAGAACCCTGAGGAAAAGGGACACCGCGGTCCGGGAGGGACACGGAGGCCCTAAGGCAGGCGAGACACCAGCCTGCAGAGGGCGCTCTGGGCTGGACAAGAGCTAATTCCCAAGATGACCAGCAGGAGGTGCTGCACCGGTGAGTCTGCTTCGCTACAGGAACTCTTAATGTTCACCAGCAGCAAATCAATTAGTGCACTTTAGAAATCACACACTGGCAGTGGCCATTGCTCACCATGTAGACCAGGGGTCGGCAGAAGTGGTGTGCCAAGTCTTCATTTATTCACTCTGATTCAGGGTTCCGTGTGCCAGTCATACATTTTAACGTTTTTAGAAGGTCTCTTTCTATAAGTCTATAATATATAACTAAACTATTGTTGTATGTTACGTAAATAAGTTTTTTAAAATGTTTAAGAAGCTTCATTTAAAATTAAATTTAAAATGCAGAGCCCCCCAGACGGGTAGCCAGGACCCGGGCAGTGTGAGTGCCATTGAAAATCAGCTCGCATGCCGCCTTTGGCATGCGTGCCATAGGTTGCCTACCCCTGATGTAGATGTAACCTAACCATACTCTAGGATGTCAGTATCTTAAACGAAAGAAAACTCATCCAGACCTTCCCTCCACAACTCTTAGTTATCATTGCTCTTTTTGGTAAAATATTCAGCATAATGAGACAAATTAAGTAATATGTTGTAAAGGTTTGTGTGTTTGATTGACCTTTTGTGCTGTTGTTACTTTAATTATGACATTCTTACATCATTTTGATTGAGTTAACTGGTGTTTTTATAGTTTGTCATTTTCCATTTTGCAAATTGGAGCTTCAGTGAAAAGGTTTCCTTTTCCATCTTGGCTTAGTTAGCAAATTTAAACCTTTCCTGGATTAATTTTTGACTGATGGCCAGCAAGATTTTAAAATTTAAGCAAACAGTTTTCCTGTAGCTTGTTACTGTATTTTTCATATTACTATTTGTAGAGGCTGATTCTTTTTTTTTCTTTTTAATTTTAAACTTCTCTAGCCAAACCTTCCAGTCTGTGCATTTCTTCCCTTTGAATATAAAATAGGAATTAACAAGGTTGGTAGGTGTAGAACATAATTGGATTTTCATCAAGTCAGACGATGATCTTTGTTTTTTTCCAAACAAATGCTTCAGGACTTGTTTGATGACTGGTGATGATTTCTTTTTTCAATGTGCAGCTACAGTCAAAACTAACAATGTTAGGAACCGTTAGGAAAAGAATAGATAATAAGACAGTAAATATCATAATGCCACTATATAAATTGATGGTATGCCCACACCTTGAATACTGCATGCAATTCTGGTTGCCGCATCTCAAAAAAAATACATTAGAAATAGAAAAGGAATGGAGAAGGGCAGCAAAAAGGTATGGAACAGCTTCCATATGAGGAGAGATTAAAAGGACAGGGACCATTTAGCTAGGAAAAGTGATGACTAAGTGGGGATATGATAGAGCTCTATAAAATCATGAATGGTGTGAAGAAAGTGAATAAGGAAGTGATATTTACCTCTTCAAATAACACTAGAACCCTAGGTCACCCAATGAAATTAATAGGCAGCAAGTTTAAAATAAAAGGAAGTACTTCACACAGCGCTGTGGTAAAGCTGTGGAACTCATTGTCAGGGGATGTTGTGAAGGCCAAAAGTGTAACTGGGTTAAAAAAAGAACTAGATAAAGTTCATGGAGGATAGATCCATCAGTGGCTGTTTAGGGATGCAACCCTGTGCTCTGGGAGTCCCCATGCTTCACTGCCAGATGCTGGGACTAGATGATGGGATGGATCAGTTGATTGCTGCCCTGTTCTGTTAATTCCCTCTGAAGCATCTGGCACAGGCCCCTGTCAGAAGACAAGATACTGAGCTAGATAGACCATGGTCTGACCCAATATGGCCATTCTTATGTTATGTTCAGGCATGAGTAATCCAACAATAACAATCTAATGTGTGCATGTGGTAGTGGAGGAAATACCTTGGTAGAGAAACAGATTTCAGAATGAACATATAATCTGATGCAAAAGTAGAGACTGACAATAGAACTTTTAAAAAGGGGCATTTATGGATAAAAGTGATTTATTTAAAAAAAACACCCATTAGATAAGAGATCTCACTTGCCCCATCACCAAAGCGGGGGGGACCCATGAAACTTTTTTTGAGAAACCCAAGGCAGATCTGGTTGAGAGGGATGCTGTTCCAATCCCTAGCCACTTTGCCCCTTCATGAAATAGGCCTAGAGGTGGTGAGCCAGGAGAGGAACTGGATGGATCAATGCTAAACATAATACCTTTTCAGAGGTTGACTAGGGCTTTTCTGTCCCAAAGGTAGGCTTGGACCCCTCCCCATAGAACCTATGACCTATTGAGTCACAAATGTGACAAGTTAATTTTCCCCTCTACAAAGACTGTAAAATCATAGCTCTGTCCTCCTTTATCATCATCCATTTCTCTTTTCATTTAATTTTGGGGAATATTGTTCATTGTGCAAAGATGATACTGCCCTTCAGCAATTGGAGATGATCTCAGAGGTTGCAGCTTTTAGTGTGACATGAGTAGCCAACACTATGACTACTTCTAATTTCTCTAGTTTTATTCTTGGAATAACAGAGGCCAGCTATAGAATTTAAGCTAGTTACAGGGTCTCCTGGGTTGTTTTTGTTTTTTTAAAGGGGTGGGGGTGGGGGGGAGGAATTGTTTGGGGTGGGTCGCCACAACAAACAAAGGAATTTTCTGAATCCAAGTCTCCTTATCCCAGATTCTGCTCCTTTCTGCTTCACCCTTTCAGACCCAGTTCCTCCTCACAAGCAGCCCTTCTGAAAGAGTTCCAGCCCTCACTTTGCTTCTCTGATACCAGTTGGAAGAAGATTTATCCCACTTCATGAAGGCTAAGTCCAGATCTGTGGATGGCCCAGTTCATAGAATTAGTTCAAGGGATAATCATTCACCCGTAGTTTTATCTTGGCCTGACTGCCCTTTTTCAGGTTCACTCTGTATTGTCAAGTAAGCAAAAAGGCTGCAAACACTATATTTTGTGTTTTCAAGATTGTTACACATGCTTACTTTAGGGCAGGTCAGCATCTATTCAAGATATTCAATCAGAGTAGCACAGGCTGCTTTGGTTGGAAAAGCTGTTCTGTCAATACTGCATCTGAAAAACCACAGTGGGGGTCATCATTGTCTCCCATTACCAGTCACTCCTGATTACTTGTGAGGCTAAGGGTATGTCTACACTATGAAATTAGGTCGAATTTATAGAAGCCGGTTTTGTAGAAATTGGTTGTGTATAGCCAATTGTGTGTGTCCCCACATAAAATGCTCTAAGTGCTCTAGTCTGCGGACCCCGTCCACAGTACCGAGGCTAGCGTCGACTTCCGGAGCATTGCACTATGGGTAGCTATCCCACAGTTCCCGCAGTCTCTGCCGCCCATTGGAATTCTGGGTTGAGATCCCAATGCCTGAATGATGCAAAACAGTGTCGCAGGGGGTTCTGGGTACATGTTGTCAGGCCCCTCCCCCTCCGTCAGAGCAACGGCAGACAATAGATTCGCGCCTTTTTACCTGGGTTACCTGTGCAGACAAC